AGTCAGCACCCAGGTGACCTCACCCTTCCTGCCTTTGTCACTGCCCTGTCCACGATATAGACCTGCCTCGGTCTAGCGGTACTGTGCCGGTCCCTATCCTCCAGGGATGTGCTCCCTGACGTTTATGCCGCAGCAGCTGAGACAGCCCCTGCTGCTGAGACTGCCGCCGCAGCTTCAGCGCAGCCGCGCTAGGGTAGGGGCCGCCGCCCCAAGGGGGGGCATGGCAGATGAAAGGGTGGTGGGGGTGGTGGGGGTGGCGGAGGTGGGGGCAGGGACGGTCGTTCAGCCGAGGGGGCCGGGGCTGGTGCTACGGAGCAGCAGCAGCAGCCGCAGCCTCATCAGCAGCACCCTCAGTAGCAGCTGCAGCAACCTCAGCAGCAGCAGTTGTAGCAGCTGCAGCAGCAGCCACCGTGGGGACCCCCTCTGCCGTGGTGGCCTTGTGGCGCTGGTGGTGGTGTTCGCGGTGGTGCCCCGCGCGGCTCGGTGTCTGGTGGTGGCTTCAGTGTGGCCACCTACCAGTACCAGCTCCAGATCGATCCACATCGCGGCACCGTCTGCGACAGTCCAGGTCACACTGCCACCTGCTGCTACCGCCGTCTCGACCCTGTACCGTCTCCGCTTTGGTCCCACCTCGGACCCTCCTGACTGGTACGCCCTGGCCCGCCGCCGTGTGCCTGTCTTTGATATTGACATGGATCAGATTAGGACTGCTATGTATGTCATGTATGCTGATGACTATAGTGTGAGTGGCATGACATGTTGCGTGCTACGTTAGCTGGCCTGCAGTTCTTCCTTTCGTCTGCAGACCCCTCGCTCTTCGTTCGTGCTGGCCAGACCCCATTCTACATCCTTGTACACGTAGATGACCTGGTCTTCGCTACTGAAGACAGGGACGCACTAGCCTCCATGAAGACTGAGCTGCTGAGGAGACACACCTGCTCTGACCTAGGCGAGCTGCGCCACTACCTTGGCCGGCAGATCTCCAGGGACAGAGCAGCGTGCACCATCACTCTTACACAGTCACACTTGGTGCGCCAGGTCCTTCTGAGGTTCGGCCTTCAGTTCTCTTCCGCATAGCCCACACCTCTGCCACTAGATGACAGGCTCTCGGCTCCAGTCCCCGAGGAGTCTGTCGAGCCTAGTGGTCCTTACGCAGAGCTGGTGGGTTGCCTCATGTACCTGATGACTTGCACTTGTCCACATCTTGCATACCCTCTCAGTATCCTGGCTCGCTTTGTGGCCACTGACAGACACCGACCACAGCATTGGTCGGCCGCTAAGAGGGTTTTGCATTATCTAGCAAGTACATCGTGCATGGGACTAGTGCTAGGAGGACGCAGGCCAGTGGTCCTTACAGGGCATACTGACGCTTCGTGGGCAGACAATGCTGCGCTGACAACAGGGCCGTGTATAGCTTGGTCTAGTTCTTGTAGCTTCTCACTTGCTAGGACCTTGCAGGGTACTGCAGCGGTCCCTAGAAGCAGTAGCAGCAGCAGCAGTCGCAGCAGCAACCGTGGGGGACCCCGCCGTCGTGGTGGCCTAGCAGCACTGGTGGTCGTCTTCCTAGTGGTGGGCCACGCAGCTCGGTGTCAGGTGGCAGCTCCACTATAGTGACCTACCAGTACCAACTTCAGTCCGGCCCCCGCCGCGGCACTGTCTGTGACTGTCCCGGTCACACCGCCGCCCGCTGCTACCGCCGCCTGGAGGACCTCTTCCGTCTCTGCTTTCGCCCCATGTCGGACCCCCCCGATTGGTACAGCCTGGTGCGTCACCGTGTGCTGTCTTTGAGCTAGATATGGGTCAGTTTAGGTATGCTATGTATGTCGTGTATATTGATGACTGTAGTGTGACTGGACCCATTAACCCTGTATTGCCTAGTGTAGGTGTGTGCACTGTGTGTAGCCTAGGTTTAGGGTTAAGGGCAGAGGCACAGACTCTCCACTCCAATTCCTGAGGAGTCGACAGAGCCAAGTGGTCCTTACGCAGAGCTGGTGGGTTGCCTCATGTACCTGATGACTTGCACTCGCCCACGTCTCGCATACCCTCTCAGCATCCTGGCTCGCTTTGTGGCTACAGGCAGACACCGACCTTAGCACTGGTCTGCCGCTAAGAGGGTTTTGCGTTATCTTGCAAGTACATCGGGCATGGGGTTAGTGCTAGTAGGACGCAGGCCAGTGGTCCTTACTGGACACACAGACGCTTCTTGGGCAGACGACGCCGAGACCCTCAGGTCCTCGCAGGGCTACTGCTTCAGCCTTGGTTCAGGTGCAGTCTCGTGGAGAGCTACCCGCTCCTCGTCTGTTGCCCAGTCCAGCTGTGAGGCCGAGATCTACGCCGGTACCATGGCGGCACAGGAGCTCCACTGGCTGACCTTCTTGCTCACTGACTTAGGTGAGCGGCCTAGCTCTGCCCCGGTCCTGTACGCTGACAACAGGGACATGATCCTCCTGTGTCAGGAGCCTCGACCCGAGGGCAGAACGAAGCACATCCAGCTGTGGTACTTCCTCCTGCGTGAGCTCCAGCAGCGCCGCTAGGCGCGCGTAGTACACTTGGCGTTCGGTGTCAACACAGATGATATCTTTACGAAGGCGCTTGCGCCTAAAGATCATCAGCGGCACTGTGTACAGCTAGGTCTCGTTCATGTAGCCTCTCACTTGCTAGGGCCTTGACTTTGTACTGTCCTTTATATATATATTTTACCCTGACTGGCCTTGTGGCCTCTCCTAGTGGCAGGACTAGTAGTGCCTCTCAGAAGAACTTAGGACACTAGCTACTTAAGATAGGATACTAGGAGGGTAGGAAAGCCGCCATGGGATCTAGTAGGGGGAGAGAATATCGAGAAAGAAGAGAGTTGATTAGGAAGAGAGAGCAGTACAAGGAGGGGATTGTACCCTCTACAGAAAGGTTCAGTAACAACCTACCAAGCCTATATTAAATTATAACTTATATAATTTTAACACACCCCCTAGGCTTGGTAGTCAAGCCCACGCACACCCCCACACCCACACCCACACCCACACCCCCTAGCCCAGCACCCCCATTCCCAGCAGGAGCCGCAACGACTCCGGAAGAGGGTAGGTCTCACGGCCCCTTGAGACGGCAATGGCGACAGCAGCGACAGTGACGACGGCTGCGGCGGCGGCGGTGTGCGGCGGCTCCAGGCCTGCGGCAACAGCGGCGGCGCCGGCGGCTCGAACGACAGAGGCTGGTGCGGCGGCCCCCGCCCTCTCGGCGGCATGTCCTGTCTCCTCGGCGGTGGAGAGGTCCCTCATAAGGCAGTCATCGGCTGCAGCAAGAAAGGGGGGGATGCAGGGGAAGCAGGTGCAGGTGGGAGGGGGAGGGGAGGGGGCGGGGCGAGGCGAGTCTTCAGCGACGCGCCATAAGTGGCGCAGCGCTTACTGGCAGGAGGGCGGGCAGGTGGCGGTTACGACGGCGTGCTGCTCGCTGCCGCCCATCCACGCTGCCGCGGCAGCATGACGACGCCGCCAGAGCGTGGCGAGGTGCGTGTGTGCTGGCCAGCGCTAAGGCCGAGCGCTGGCCGCATGTCGCCACAGCAGCACGACGAGACGGTCGCGGCGGTACGACATGACCGGGACGACGGAGCCAGGCAGGGCGCGACGGGGCCGAGCGGGTGCGACGAGGCCAGGCAGGGCGGCGACGGGGCCGGGCAGGGGGCGACGGGGCCGGGCAGGGGGCGACGGGGCCGGGCAGGGGGCGACGGGGCCAGGCAGGGCGCGACGAGGCCCAGGAGGGGCGCAGCCGCGGCGTCGCGCTGATGTCGTCCCGGTCGCGTGTCGAGACGGCCGCGGCAGGACGGCGCAGCCGGCGAAAAGACGACGACGCCACAGCGTGACGCCGCCGCGGTCGCCATGGCAGCGTCGATGCCGCAGCGGGACGTCGACGCTGCGACTGCAGAACGACGGCCTGACTCCACGGCAGCGCGTCGAGCCGGTCGCGGCACGACGCGACCAGTGGCAACGCGACGTCGCCACTGCAGCAAAACGCGGCCGCCATGGCCGCTCGAGCGAATGAGAGTGAGGAGTAAATGGCGGAAGCGTGAGGAGGCGATCCAACAGGGAGGATCTCCTGCTCTGATACCATCTCAGAAGAACTTAGGACACTAGCTACTTAAGATAGGATACTAGGAGGGTAGGAAAGCCGCCATGGAATGGCGTGAGGGAAGTGGATCTAGTAGGGGGAGAGAATATCGAGAAAGAAGAGAGTTGATTAGGAAGAGAGAGCAGTACAAGGAGGGGATTGTACCCTCTACAAAAAGGTTCAGTAACAACCTACCAAGCCTATATTAAATTATAACTTATATAATTTTAACAGTGCCGCCCTGGTCTTGCTCTTGTCTTGTCTGTACTCCTTTGACTGGTCTTTAGACCCTTGCCTTAGAGGCGGGACTAGTAGTTCCTTGAGCTGCTTCTTTCTCTGTCAGGCACTGCCCCTATATAGTCTAGGGGGTGTGTCAAATGTAACTTAGGTCGTTACTGTAGACTATACTGGATTGTGCCTTAGAGGGTACAAGACCCTAGACTATATACCCTTGTACTCACACATTCTAGTTCAATCATTCTTTCTGATAGAAGCTGCCAACGGGCCGTCACTCATCTCATCTCAGTCAGCCCCTCGCTCCCCTAAATCGCCCGCTCCCATCTCGCTCTATCATGGCACGAACCCGTGTGTCGGCATGGCCTGGCGACAGGTGCCTTTAGGGCGGAAGTCACCGCCGTGAGCCCGACAGGATTCATCACGGCAGGGAACTCGGAGAGTGCCGCCCAGCCAGTCACTCATGCCTACAATATCATATATATATATTATAACATAAACAACCTAAAGTTGTGAAATTCTGTTTTTATTTGTTTTAGGCTGATTTCTTTATTAGTTACGGTGGTGCACTGTTAGTTTGGTGCATTGTTTGTCTGGGTAGCGAGCGGCTGTAGGTGGGGCTTCGCGGCAATAATCCAATTTGCCAGGGAAAGTGAGGAGCCAATCCCGAGGGTGTTGTAGTACATGGCTTCGTTTTGTGACTGGGTGTTGTTCCACTGTCTTGTGCTTTGCGTGCCACATCTGTTGTCGCGTAATAGGCTGAGGTGCTCGTAACCGATCGTTTGAACACGCCCGCCAGGTCGTGTCACATTTTCACTTCGTCGCTTGTACAGTATCTGCGAGCGACATCGCTCAAGCCCAGCGAGCTGCATCTCATCTCGCTGGTGGTGTTTTCTCTCCGCCAGGCGTAGAGGGGCGATTTTCCTGTCCCTTAGCTCTCGTTCACTTCACTCGTAGTCCAAAACCTTCGGTTTTGCAAAATGGCTTCTTGGGATCCTCGCTCTAAAGCTCAGCTGCTACACCACAACACATCTCATCCGACGGTCCATCAACTGTCTGGGAAGCTAATTTTACTCGGTACTAATGAAGGATTTTTATGGAAAACCCTATATCTATAAGGCAAACAAAACATTGCATGAGAAGTAGCTCAACCTGTGCCACTGGCGATAACATAAGAGCCCTCACCCCAACCTGTGTCATCAGGCTTTGGGCTGGGCACGCCACGGCACAATAAAGCGCCTCAAGAGGGGAGAAATGCAGATGTCGTTAGGTAAATCCGGTAGTAGCGTATATCACAAGGGGCTGCGAAAAAAATCGTGGGGTGCTGGCGGTGGCGGTGGCGGGGCTCAGGGCGCGGCGACGTTGGCGAGCGCCTTGGGCGCGATCTCGACGCCGTCCGCCGTGCCGGGCGAGGAGTTCTCGACCTGTAGCGACAGCAGCGTCTCCTCCCACTCCAACGCGGGGCCCTTCCACGACAGGTCCTGCGCCATGCCGTTCAGAATCATCTGGTCGAACGCCGGCGTGCCGAACACCTTCAGCGCGCGCTGCACTCCCGCCGTCAGCGTCGCCACGTCCTCGGGGTACACCGCCTCGCACTGCGCGCCGTGGCGACAAACAGGGGGCAGGGGGGGGAAGGGAGAGGGTGGGGGGAAACGAGACGGGGAAGGTAAGCAGGAGATCCAGGAGTAGCAGCAAAGGAGTGGAGGTAAGAAGCAAGAATTGGAGGAAAGGCGGAACAAGAAAATAAGGAAACGTCACGGCAGGGAAGTGGCAGGGCGGGGCGCGGGGCAACTCACGTCGACGTTGAACTCGCCGATCTGAAAGCCCGTCTCGCCGTCCTTGACGGTGTCCACGAGCCCGCCCGTGGACGCGACGATGGGCACGGTGCCGTAGCGCATGGCGTGCAGCTGGATGAGCCCGCACGGCTCGAAGCGCGACGGCACGAGCATGAAGTCGGCGCCGGCCGTCATGAGGTGCGCCAGCGGCACGTTGAACTTGACGACGCCGCGCGCCTTGTCGGGGTACTTGGCCTCCAGCGCCTCCAGCTGCTTCTCCAGGTACTTCTTGCCCGTGCCCAGCACGATGAGCTGCACGTCGCCCGCCAGGATGTCCTCCACGGCCGCCGACAGAATGTCCGACCCCTTCTGCTCCTCCAGCCGCCCGATGAACGCCAGCAGCGGCACGTCCGCGCGCACCGGCAGCCCCACCTCCGCCTGCAGCGCCTCCTTCAGCGCCGGCTTCACCTGCAGCACCGTGGACGCGTCGTAGCGCGCGTCCAGGAACTTGTCCTCCGACGGGTCCCACTCTGCCACGTCCATGCCGTTCACGATGCCCTTGATGCCCACGCCGCGAATCACGTCGTCCAGCTCCACGCCCTTAGCCGGCCCCGACTGCAGCTCCGCCGCGTAGTTGGGCGACACCGTCAGCACCAGGTCCGCCTCCACGAACCCCGCCTTGAGCCAGTTGATCTTCGGACCCTTCACCGGCTTCTCGTACCTGCCAGGGGAAGCGGACGCGCGGATCGGAACAGCAGAGGAGGGATGTGATAGGCGAGATAGGAGAGAGGAGTTACATGGGAAGCTCGTGGTTCAAAATCTCATGTGCCTATATTTCTGTTGTCAGATTCAGCACCTTTCAATTGTTTCGCCGTCCGCCTAAGTCTAGCTCCAGAAGCGCTACCCGCAACGTACCCGTCGGTGAAGGCGAAGGAGGGGCGGAAGGAGTCGGGCAGGTTGAGGCGGTCGAAGTCGGACGGCGCGAAGCGGCCCTGGTACGCGATGTTGTGTGTGCAGAACGCCACCTTGGCCTGCCGGAACTGCCCCTCCTGCTGCAGCTGCTTCAGGTACGCCGGCAGCACGCCCGTGTGCCAGTCGTTGGCCACGAACACCACGTCCTCGCCGTACGCGCCCGAGTAGTACGGGTTGTTGTCCAGGCGCAGCACCTTGGGCGCCATGAGCGCCGCCTGGTTGAAGAGCGAGAAGCGCAGCACGTTGTCGTCGTAGTCCACGCCCGTCTTCGGCCCGTACACCTTGCTGCCCGTCTTGCCGTACACCTTCGCCAGGAACAGCGGGTGGTCCACGAACACGCGGTCCACGCCGCGCTTGTAGCAGTGGAAGAACCGCACCTTCTCCACCGCGTCGCCCACCTTCACCTGCCGGGTCGCGTCAAGCACACGTCATGCGCGCACGCAACCAACCACGTGTCAGCAATCACATTACGTGCTTTATAGATTAAACGGAATTCAGAGATAAATTGAGGAATTCAACTGAAGCTGAGCAGAAGGTTGGTATCATGAATAATTCAGAGTCCACTACTCACATCAATGATGACGTCAGTGTCCCAGGCGTCCTTGTACTGGTCGTAGCGCGGTGACACCGTCATCACGCGGTGGCCCCTGGCGGCGAGCGCGGGAGGGAGGCCGCCCAGCACGTCGCCCAGGCCGCCCGTCTTGCTCCAAGGCGCCACCTCGGCCGACACGAACACCAGTTTCATCCCGGGCTCCGTCTGCTCGCACCGCACCGCGCCCACCTTGCCCTCGCCGCTCTGCACCGCCGAGGAATTGGCGCGCAGCTGAGCGGCCTGTGAGGTGGTCTTGGATCCCGCGAAGGCGGACGCCGACTTGAGCCCATCGAAGCGCGCGAGGCCGGAGACCAGGGGCGAGGCGAGAGACGCCTTGCTCGTGGAGAGGGACGCCTTCATCGCGGAGGAGACTGAAGCGGCCGCCATGATGAACAGTGCTTAGACTTTTTGCAGGGAATTGAAGGCTGGAGAAGACTGGATCTTGAGTCCGAGTTGCTGAATTTCGTTGAGAAGACTTGGAATGCCTGATAATGTCCTGCGAGTATTGTTTGATGGAAGCGAATGTGGGAATTTATGTTGTGTGGGGATTGGGGGGAAGAGGGGGGTGCAACTCTGAAATTGCCGAGTCGCGGAAGGCTCGGAAGTTGCGGGGAGGAAATCTCCAGAAAGGTGTGAACTTGTGGTGGAGAGGTGGGGTCAAGGGGGCTTCGGGGGAATGCAGTTGGAGAAGCTTGTGGTGGAACGTGACGAGCGGGTTGTTCTGATTTGCGGAAAGGGTGGCTCGGTTTTTTGGGGATGTTTTTGTGGCTGCCATACCTTCTAGTGGACCTCAGTCGATGCCGAACCTGCGATGGAGGCCCGGTTGGTGAATGCCGCGTGGTTTTGGGAAACAGACGGAGGAGAAAGTTTGTTCCGAGATCCTTGGAGTTTGTGAACGCGTTTCGACACATCGGACGATGTGCCACGTATGTGCATTTGACAAATGAAGCGCACCGACAGTTTGTTCCCAAGGGTTCGGGAGATTCGCATAAGACATTAAGCTACACCGAGATGAGCCAAAATTCTTCCATCGTAATAGTACCTTTATTTTCTTTACTCGGTTACATACGCTAGAAATGTCTATCTCCATTTTCTACCAAAGAAGCCTCACACAGCCATCACCCAAAAACACGATCAGTCAAGAAGTAGCATCAGAACTAAAAATAGTTCAAAATCGATACGCAAGGCCCATGAAACTTGCTAAGCAAGGTGGGCCTTCATTGCTATGTGAAGGAGAAATTTGAAGGCTGCAAGAGAGGGCGATGAATGGAACTGCAGGAAAGGAGAAGGTAGTCTGAAGGAAGTATTTCTCAGAAGGAAGCAGGGCAAATGGCCCATCAGTAATGAGAACCGAAGCAGCATTTGCACATCACTTGGGCAATGCACCAGATGTAGCACCGTCACCAGAAGCACTGTCAGCAGTACTGCCACCAGCAGCAGCACCGCCAGCAGCAGTGGTGGCAGCAGCAGCAGCAGGCGGAACCCGTGCAGGGAGTATGGGAGGGAGGACAAGGGGGGCGCTCCAATGGGGGAAAGGGGAGATGCGGGGTGCTTCGAGGTGCACGTGCCAGACCAGCACCTGGGAGCAGTCGTCTGCCAGTGCCTCCATCTGCGACTCATCTGCCACCAGCTGCTCTATGAACGTGGTCTCCTGTACAGGGGACACATGGGCAAAGACACAGGGGGTGACAGAGGGGACAGAGGAGGGAACAGCCAAAGGGGCGGAGGCACAGTGAGACTAAGGATAAGGAAGATCGCTCAGAGGAGGAATTCAATTGCAAGTGTCTGACAACCCCAATCCGAATGCACGTGGTGCAAGCAACTTACCCAGGTAGCAGGCAATATGCAAAGTTCATGCGACACTGCAGATACTTCCATTCCATGTGCTAACCTGTATGAGCCCGCCCATCCCCTCCTCTTTGCCCCCGCTATTCTCCCCCATTCCACACATCCTCTCTCTGCCTCCCTCCCTCACACTAAACCCTCAGCTCACCTGAAACCCCTCCTTGACAGAGTCCAGCTGCCTGATCGGCTGGTCCGTGGGGCGGCGCCAGAGCGAGGGGTTCCAGAGGATGGTGGAGTTGAACGCGAATCCGCACATGTCCACGTGGAAGCGCCTCACTCGCCGGCTTTTCTCGTTCGTGTGCCACCCTATCACCTTCCCGGCCTCGCACACAGGCCCCTCCAGGGTCGCTCGGGACTTGCCCTGCTGCAGCATTGCCACAGGCCACGTGCCAAAGCGCCTGGGGGGTGAGGGGTGAGGGAAGGCAGTAAATTATAAGACAACGTTGGGAGAGGAACGTTAGGGAAAAAGGGGAGGCTCCCTCCCTGCTGCAGCATTGCCATGAGCCACATGCCAAAACGCCAGTGGAGTGAAGAGTGAAGAACTGCGAGCGAAGTGGGTTGAGGCACGAGGTAAGGCAGGAGAGCACGAGTGTGATGATGTCAGGAAGGATGGGAAATTGTGACAACACTGGGAAGAAATGAGGGCGCTCTGAAGCACAGGATACGAATCACTAAGGGCGACTAGCAATTCGGATCCTAAGGAGCATTTCTCTGGGCGACGACAAGGCAAGGCGGTTGAAGGGGTCGTGTTTTGAGGCGCCCTCTCAAGGAGTCGTGTTCAAGGGGTCGAATGGAGAGGAGAAGGGAGGGATGCCGCGCACGGGGAGCGGATTCACAGAGATCCGCACTGATGCTGCAGAGAGATGGCAGAGAGAAAGTGAGGGCTCACGCGGATGCTGCATCCACAACACCGCACACCAGCCATGCGGTGACGCGAGTGGGAGGCGCTTGGGGGAGTGGATTGGGGGAGTTGAGTGAGGGGGAGTGGAGAGAGAGGGAGTTGAGTGAGGGGGAGTGGAGAGAGAGGGAGTTGAGTGAGGGGGAGTGGAGAGAGCCAGCCACCCATCCACCCACCCACCCACTCGGCCACCCTTGCACACTCACTTGAGACGGATGATAACGTCCAGCCTATGCTCTCCAAGTGCTCCATCGCTGCGTTTTTGGACGACCACGCACATCCACCCAACCACGCACCCACGCACCAACCCACCCAGACACCCACCCACGCACCCACGCACACACGCACCCAACACACCCACACACCCACCCACGCACCACTCCACCCCCATGCCCACTCACTTGATCCGGCGCATCTCCTCGAACAGCTCGAGCGAGTAGATGTTGTCGTCGTCCGCGAAGTACATGATGCCGTCCAGCCGGTGCTTCTCCACGTGCTCCATCGCCGCGTTGCGCTGGTGCACGCCGCGGTCCTTGATATCCGTCATGTTCTTATGCGCTACCAGGTGCCGGTACACCAGCCCCGTCCCGCGCAGCAGCGCCGCCGACTCCGCGGATTGCGGGTAGATCTCCACGACGAGCCAGAGGAGCGGGGGGGGCACTTGCGCCAGGAGGTTTGCCAGGCGGTGCAGGTACATGGCTTGGAACGGCCGCACGTACGTGGGGGTAACTATGATGAGCAGCGGGCGGACGCCGCCCGCGGTTTCTTCCCCCGTGCGCGCGTCCACGCGGTGGTACGCGGAGCAGTGCGCGCTTTCCGCGGCTGGCGGAACGCGGAGAGTGGTGAGGGAGGAGGCGGAATCGGAGGGGAAGGAGGAGGAGAGGGACGAGGAGGGGATTTGATCCAATAGACTGCTACTGCCACTTCCACTGCCACTGCTGAACCTGCTGCTGCTGCTGCTGCCAGCGTCACCACCTCCACCAGCCAGCAGCACTGCCCCTCGCGCGCGATCTTCCCCCGCCTCCGCCTCCCTCCGCGCACCCGCCTCCGCCAGCCGCTCCTGGCGCAAGGCCGCGGGGGAAAGCGCCACCACGTCCCCTTGGCGGAACGCGTGCAGGTCGGAGAGCAGCGGCCAAACGCCCTTGTGCGCGCCGTCCAACCATAGAAGACCCGCGGTCAGCCCCACGATAAAACACACCAAAAGAGTCCCCGGCCGAATACCCATCGCCGCTACTGACAGCCCGGGGTTGCGCTTCTGTCCGCTGACTCCTCCGCCAACTCCGCTTCCGCCTCCGCCCGAGGCGATTCGCGAGAGCCAGCCCTGCGCCCCGCCCGCGGATCCGGGGAGTCTGGCTTCCCCCCCGACTTCCCCGTCGGAGTCTCCCCTCCCCCGATCTCTCCCCTTCTCCGCGTCCTCCCGCTCATCTCCCGCCCGCATGGTGCTCCGCCGGGGGTGAGAAGTAACGCCCGGGTTTCCCCCCATGGCCGTAACTACCGGAGGCGTTGAGCCAATAGACGGCAAGGAATCCACGTCATATACTCCCACCGACCCTGCTGCTCCTACTCCTTCTGCTGCTGCTCCCTCGGTCATAGCTACCGCGTAAACTCCGCCGAGGGTTGCGGCGGAGGCTGGGGAGTCCGCTGGTCTCTCCCCGTGCCTTTCTCCGCCGTATCCTGTGCCTGGCGTGCTGCCGAACGACGCATCCACTCTGCCCATCCCCGTTAGAGGCGGCTCCTCTCCCCGCTAAAGCTGATGCGCCTGATACTGCGGTGATGCCTTGAGTGACCTAACTGCTGGGAGACTCTGTCGGAGGTGATGAGGTTTATGTCTGACTGAAGAGGAGGATAAGACAGCAGAATCGGTCGGAGACAACCGCGGAGCAGGATGAGTGGAGGTGTCAGTAAAACCGGGCTTGGCAGCGCCGTTGCCTCGTTGAAATGAGATTCTGGACGGGAGACGGGGACGCATGCACAGCCAGGGGTGACAGGCCCTTGATTTAATACTTGGTAGTACTACTATCCCGTTTGCGAGAAACTACACAATACGGGAGAGGCAGGAAGCGACAGGATGTGGGTTGAGGAGGAATAGCCTGGCAGGCTTGCGAGGGGAGAGGAAGTGAAGGGATGCGGGTGAGTCATGATTGGGAAATGGTCATTGCAGCCAAGGAATGACAGAAGGAGATGGTTAGAGCATCGCAGGTGAGGCTTAGGAAGGGGAAGGAATGATTGGGAAACGAACAGTAAGGGAGAGGGAAGGAAGCGGCGTGAAGGTTGGACTAGGAGGCACGCGGGCGACGAAAAAATCGACTGATTGAACGCTGAAGGGCGTGACTGCGACGAACAGAGGATGCTCAGCGTGGTAACATGGTGGGGGAGTGGCCTATTGATTATAACTGTAGCTGTTGAAGGGTCATTCTGGAATAGCGAGATGCACGAGAAGTCCCAACGTACCGCCGGTAATATTAGTGGCTGGTCCTTTCTTTAATCAAGTTCTTCTCGAACGATTTTCCGACAGAATCTCGAATGTTCGGCAGTACGCGAATGGAAATTGACCAAAAATAAAATCCGTGGAAGCCATGTCCTGGCTACCGCCTAGCGGAGCCTTGAATTGAGTGAACGAATGCCGAAGCGAATTAGCTGATCAAAACAGCATAGCTAGGTGGTGTATGAGGGAAACGGGTACGGAAGAAGCAGGCACCAGCCTCTAAACTCTACTCACTAAAGCTGCACTTAGCTCCTTAGTTTCCACCTCGTTCGCAGTTTAGGTCAGTGCTAGTGATCAGGCGATCCCAAGGCCGACCGTGCTGAGAAGTGAAGCATTGAGGCATACGCAGGCTTAGGTGGGTGGATGGGATGGATCATGGAACAGAAAGGGAAACTCTACTGTAGGGAAAATAAAGGGAACAGGCCAGACAGAACAGCAGGGGGAGCTTGGCCTGGGGGGACTGCAAGGGGGAGCAAGGCTGGCAGGGGGCAGCCGAACAAACCGAGGGAGGCCGGCGGAAGGTAAGGGCACGTCCGCGCAGGGGATTTTCGCTCCTCGGGACTCGCGCTGTTATTTTTTACGTCAGCAGGGAGGCGCGCGTAGCCGAGACTCCCCGTAATCTCTGCAGCCACCTCCCCCAATTCCTCTTGTACACCCCCGCCTACGCGGTTTCCCCCACCTCCCCCATTCGCACGAACAGAACTGAGGATTCGCCGCCTTCACTGTTTGCACCTCGCTTTGCTTCTGGCGTGTGCTTTCACTGAAGGGCATATAACGGGCGGGCATGGCAACTGACAGACATCTGACAGTCACCATGAGGAGGAAATACGAGTCGCACGGACGCGGATTGGCCTGCAACGAGGGCGAACAAACTGGGCGATTCGATGAACGGGTGTGCTGCTTGAGAACCGAGTTTTGAGAAACGAGCGGATGGTAGCGTGATTTGTTATAAGCACACGGTCAAGGAGGCAATATCTAAAACCACGGGCTAAAATAGCATGGGGGGCTTCAAGTGAGCCGCTCTTGAAGTGGGGACACTAAAAAAAGTTGGGTTTCTAGATAGAAATTGCCATTGAACTTTTTTGGGTTGCGTAGCAACCCTTGTTATGAATTAATCAGAGTAATAAGAGGTAGTGTAATAAAGGAGTCGTCATTCAAGAGTGCCGATACAAATGAGGGCCTAGGCATTTATAGGCACAAACAGAGCCAGTCGAGAACCACGCGAACAGGTTGGGGCGGTCCGGTTGGCGAAAGCCACGGAAGTGCTGCGCGTCGAGGTTTGGGTTCGGGAAATGGTTCGGGGCCGAAGAAGTTGGCCGAGCCTGGACTTCCGAGAGTCGAGGGCGTACGCGTTGTAGTCGAGCCCAATAAGGAAAATGGAATTTCCTTACACCACCTCCTCTCTCGAGATGAGATTACCCACATCCGTGGCATATCGTCGGTGTAAATAATCCCGGGCGACTTTGTGTTGGCCGAGCATAGCTGCGAGGATCCATAGATCGTCGTGAGTCGTGCGATCGACCCATCGTACAAGGAAAACAACGGCTGATGTATCTCGGTGGCCTCGTACGCGATGAGCGGGAATCTTGGACGGCTCGATCGTTGGCTCGGTTGATCGTATGATTGATGTGTTGACAGTCAAGATTAGTTGTACTTGGGACGAACGGTCGCAGGAGACTGACGCGGAACGAATCATGGATTCGCCAGTCGGTTGGCAGTTGCAGATGGGCGGTGACTGGTGTCACCATACGGATGATGCGGAAGGGTCTGCAAAATCTTGGTCGTAGTTTATTTGGGAGGGGGATTCCCAAATTCTTGGTGTCGAGCAGGACCAATTGCCCAAGGACAAGTGTTAAGTCTCGGCGTCGTCGATCAGCTTGCTGCGTAGCCCTCTGGTTGGCTTTTAGGATGGCATCGACGGCTTTTTGCTGAGATTGCCTAAGATTTTCGACGAACTGATGCGACCTTGGAGCCGGATTTTCTATCGGGGGCGATAGAGGGGTTGTCGGATCCATCCTATAATTAAGGAAGAACGGGGACTGCGTAGTCGTGGCCGATGGGGCGTTGTTGTACGCAAACTCGATCAAGGGAAGGGTGTCTTCCCATTGGGCCAGGTCTATTCACGTTGTGCGAATTAGCTGCTCCATCGTCTGATTGGTGCGCTCAGTCTGGCCGTCCGATTGCGAGTGGTACGCCGTGGACAGATGTAGACGTGTGCCGTACTGCTGCCAGGTTTTTGTCCAGAAGTTGGACGTGACCCGTGGGTCGCGATCGCTGATGATTGCCAAGGGCATGCCGTGTAGTCGCACGATGTTCGTGAGGAACAGTTTCGCTGACGACGAGAATCGCGTCGTTACCGGTCGGACCAGCTGGCAGGCGAGTGACAAAATGCATCGTTACTTGTTGCCTCGGTCGGCTGGGTGGCTCGAGCAGCTGCAGCAATCCCGCAGGTCGAAGCCGAGAAGACTTCATGCATTGACACATGGCGCAGGAGGTGATGTACAGCTGCACATCTGTCGGCAAATCGGGCCAGTAATAATTACGACTCTGTAATTTGGCGGTTTTGTCGATGCCGTAGTGAACCGAGAAATTCGAGTCATGTGCCTCCTGGATCAGTAATTCCCGTAGGGTACGGTAGGCGAGAAACCAAATCCGATTGGTACTGGTTAGCAGCGGATTAGCTTGGGTAATTAGGACTGCAGCGGTGTGGACCGAGGGGCAGGTCAGTGCGTCCGCGATGTTGCTAACCCCTTGCTTGTAGGTGACGCTGTAGTGGAAATTGGACTCGATGTAGTTGGGCTAGCGAATCAGTCGGGGATTCAGTGTCGGTTGGGCGCGGATGAACTGTAGTGACTTGTGGTCTGTTCGAACTGTCATGTCAGCGCCCGTCATGTAGCAGCGCCAGACCTTGAAAGCGTGAACGATGGCGAGTAACTCATTGTCGTGGACATAATAGTTTCGCTCGGCCGGGTTCAGCTTTCGGGACTCGTAGGCGATGGGTTGGAGGCCTTCGTCGAAGTCTTGTAACAGTACTGCGCCAACGGCCAGATCGCTAGCATTGGTGATGAGCTCGAATGGACGGTGAGGATCTGCAATCCGAAGAACCGGATGTGTAGTCAGGAAAACCTTGGAGCTGTTCGAAAGCAACCTGTAGCTCTCCCCCTCATTTATAAAACGTGCCCTTCTTCAGGAGATCCGTGAGAGGGGAAGTTACACCTGCCATGTTTGGAATGAAACGTCGAATGTAATTCACGAACCCCATAAAACTCTGAAGTTCACGGAGATTAGCCGGCGGCTTCCAGTCTTGGATTGTCGCGATTTTCTTTGGGTCAATTTGAACCCCGTCGATGGAAATTACGTGGCCCAAAACCTCCAGTTCATGTTTTAGAAATTGGCACTTAGAGCCCTTGGTGATGAGTCGATGCTGCCGCAAGGGAGAGAAAACTTCGGTCAAATCCTTCAATTGCTGCTCCTGGGTAGTGCTGTAGACCAAGATGTCGTCGAGGTACACGATGACGCATTTGTCCAACAGCGGCCAAAAAACCTCGTCCATGGTTAACTGGAATGTCGAAGGTGCGTTTGTTAAGCCTAAAGGCATAACCATGTGCTCGTAACTCCCGTACCGGGTCCGAAACGCCGTCTTGTAGAAGTCAGCTTCGTTCACGCGGATTTGGTGGCAACTGCCTCGTAGATCAATTTTCGAGAAGAATTTGGCTCTGCGAAGTTGGTTGATGAGTTCGTCGGCACGCAGGATATGATAGCGAGACTTTATGGTAACCCGGTTCAAGGTGCGGTAGTCAATACACATTCGTAGACTACCATCTTTCTTCGGGGTGAACAGTATTGGAGCTGCAAACGGTGAAGTGCTGGGGCGAACGAAACCTTCCTCGAGCAGGTAGTCCAGCAGGCGTCGAAGTTCATCCAGCTCGGGCTGAGTCAGCCGCCATTGAGTCCGAACAGTAGGCTGCACGCCGGGCTCCAGCTCGATTTTCTGGTATTGTTCTCGCTCAGGTGGCAAACCCGCCAGTAGGTCGTCTGGAAAAATGTCGATGTGTTTCCGAATCACCATCGCCAAATCATCCGGGACAACTGCGCAGAGTTTGTCGATGTCGGTTGGCGTGTCGACAGCCGTTGATGCAATCCATCGGATTGCATACAGTTGCGCCCCTCGAATCATGGCTCGCTTGATCGTCACTGCGCTGACTGTCGATGTGGTAGAATCTTGAAAGTTCCACTTGGGTAGTCGTCGCCACTCGCCACTCCATTTGATGCGACAATCGCCCGTCCGCTAGTCAATGCTCGGGTTGCATTCGCGCAGCCAATCCCAACTGGCCAAAGTTGTTGCCAGCATCTTCGTCGTGAAACTGAATTTTTCGCCGCATGTTACTCGCACGTGAGGTACCCGCTCCCGAATTGCCAGTGGTGTGCCGTCAACCAATGGCGCGTCGATTTCAGGCATGCAGCGCTCCAGCTGCAATCACAGTTTTTTTGCCTTCGTCACGTCCATCAAACTGTGGCTCGCCCCACCATCAACGAATATCTTGATGCGGGTGTCGCCAACTTTTCCTTCAACCAGCACAGGATGATCAACCGGTTCAACCCCCTTATTCAGCCAGGAATGGTCGATAGCCCAAATCGGCACTATTACCTGGTGGTGGCGTTTGGGCGATGCAGTCAAGTCAGTAGGTGGCCCATCTGCTACAGACGATCTTCATTTCCCGACTGCTTCTTGACATTAGCTAAGTTCTTCTTTAGCTGCGGGCAGTCCCTCACCATGTGACCCTGATGGTTTCAGTAGAAGCAGGTTCTCGAAAATACTCTGGCTGCAAACACGTCCACGCCGTTGATTGATGTGTGTTGGGGCTGGCTTCGAAAGCGATTTCCCTCCCGGAAACCCGCTCTCGCGAGTCCACGTCGTGCGTCCAGCGCGTCTGCTATGCAAACTATTTCGTTGAATATTGTCGGGGCTCGCAGGACGATCTCTTTTGCCGAATCTCCAGCTTGAGACCACTCACGTGGCGATCGATGCGCTCGTCTTCGCTAAGCCCTCCGATTTGGTCGCTGATTGCTAGAAACGACGCCGTGTAGTCTTGGACAGAGCCCAACTGTCTCCGCATCCGAAGCTTTGTGCGGGCATTTTCGCGCATAGATATGTGCTCGAATATGCCCTTCAACACTTCGCCTCACGCTTTCCACATGCGGACCATGGCCGACCCAAAGATGGGTTCTGCCATCGCCGTTGATGAACTGAGCTCCCCATCTACCGCCCATTGATTCCTTGCCGGGGCTCCTCCCTCGTCTAGATGCATGCGCCACCAGTCGAGTGCCGGTCCCCTCAGCAACGACACAGCCAAGTTGACACGTGATGCGTTGTCATTAATACTTGTTGCCGTGAAGAAGATTTCCATGGCGAACAGCCACCCGCTCACTGTAGTTGTCTTGTCGGTCGAGTTGAATGGCGGAGGCATCGGTGGTTTGATTTTAATGGCCGCCCGCAGCTCGCTGTGGGCTTCTTCAACTGCTTCAGGTATCGCCCGCGCCCTCGCTTCGCTCGCAGCATCTTCGTCGCGGATAACAGATCGCCCCTGACGTGTTTCACCCTGCGTCTGGCGAAGCGACGAGTTTTCGTTGCGCAGTGTCTGCACTTCGCTTCCCAGCGACTCGAACTTATCGACGAGTTGTTGAAGCTGGGCATGCAGTGTCGTCACTGCAACTCGTCAAACTCCTCCTGAGTCAAGTTTCTAACCCTACGACGGGCAGAGGTTTCCAGTGTGATAGACATGCTGGAAATTTTACCTGACAGATCTGAGGGTGCACACGCTTTTAGTTGGAGGAGCTTTAACGAGCTCACCTACCAACTGCAGGCCAACCCCCTATTCTATCGGGTCCTCTCCAGATATAAACAGACTACTCTACGGAAGACTACACGGGCAGGAACGGAGCTCTAATACCAGCTATTATGAATTAATCAGAGTAACAACAGGAAGTGTAATAAATGAGTCGTCATTCAAGAGTGTCGATACAAATGAGGGCCTAGGCATTTATAGGCATGAACAAAGCTAGCCGAGAACCACGCGAACAGGTTGGGGCCGTCCGGTTGGCGAAAGCTACGAAAGCGCTGCGCGTCGAGGTTTGGGTTCACGAAATGGTTCGGGACCGAAGAAGTTGGTCGGGACCGAAGAAGTTGGCCGAGCCTGGACTTCCGAGATCGAGGGCGTACGCACTGTAGTCGAGCCCAATAAGGAAAAGGGAATTTCCTTACATCCCTACACGATCGTTTTCACTTTTGGTGCACCAGAATGTGTACCCTTTAGAATCTACGTTTGGTTGCCATATTGTTCGGTTCTACAGCTACAATTCGTGTTTTCTTGTCCAAAGCAATATGTTCGTAAAATTTCAATGCATTGGTGTCAGCCAAAAATGCATCCCCAATTTACCACCACTCGTGAGTGCTCGGACAAGCATGTGATTCCCACAATTCGACCGTCGATAATTTTAGCGGCAAAAAATGGAACCACAAATGCTACCATGGATACACAAATGGCGTGCGGTATGTAGCTATTTGCAGTGGATATGACTCGTAATTGTGTTTTTTTTTGCCATTCACGCGCCGATAAATACGGCGGCGTTGCTAAATAAGACACATGAGCTTCTTATAATCAACACCACAAATAGTTTACCGCAACAATGCAGCACAACAATAACAACAAACATAGGCATGCTTAGAAGAAAATGTACGAAATCATTTATGCATTTCAATGAAGTTTGACATGAACGGCTGGGCACAGAATTTCCGAAGAAATCTACCCAAACCGACATGCAATATCAAATTGCGTTATGCATATACTGTAGCTTATATGCACCACCCCAATGCATCCCAACAAAACGACACGTAGACACACATGCACTAAAGCATACACCACAGGGGTACAACAAAACGATACATATGTCAGATACTCAGCCACTAACCACTGTGTTAAAAGGGCTTGTTAATAGCGGGTCAGTGCGCCCATAGCCCCCCAGGCTCTGCACCTGTGGCCCTTCCCCGAGGATCTTCTCAAGGGTAACCCCAGCGGGTTGTTGTGTGATGTCATCATATGCTATCACATTCTGTCTGCCTCTCATCTCTTGTTTTAATTCGTATGTATGGTTTGACTGTGTGTGAAAGAATTTGTGTGTGGTGTGTTCTGGAGTTTGGGAATGTGTTTTGTGTTATTCTGTCTGAGCAGGTATTTGTGATGATAGATCTTGAGAAGATCTTTCCGACGCAACAAGAATCGCTTCAATCGGAGCAAGAACGCGAAAGCTATGAAGATTCAAAGTTCATGAGCTTGCGTTACAATTGCGGCGGTTACAAAGTGAAGTTGTGGGGTGACTTTATATGGAGTTGGGACCTTTGGGGGTTGGGAAATTTGTCACTCTACTGTAACAGCTGCAAATTGGTTGGGAACAACCAAGCTAGGTTGGCAAGGGTGGCCAACTTGGATGGATTGGTTGGGAAGGGACAAATGTCAAAGTTGGGGTTCCTATAGGGAGGGAATCTTTGTGCTTATGGGGTTTCCTTGGTTGGGGACTCTCTTGGGACCTTCCCTCTCACCCCTCTCTTCCCATCCCAACCTTTCTCTTGCTCCTTCTAATTCCTTGTGAGATTCTTGAACTTTGATTGAACTCTTGAGATTGAGTTAAGTTCTCCTCCTACAGCTTACCCCCTAGTGCGTCGAAAGCCATAGCGTCGCGAATACTTCATCAATCGACATGATTCAAATTGGGAACGGTAGCTGAGGTTAAGAGATACAGCATATCCGAGTTTCGCGACATTCCAACGGCTAGTGTTTCGTCGACGTTGTTTCTTGTGAAGACGACTTTTCTGTCCAGAATTTCGGATTTATATTTTGAGTAATTCTAGCTCCTAAGTTCACCAAGACTCCGTCCTTAATCCTAACAAGTGGTATCAGAGCGATATTAAGGACATTGAGAGGAGTCTACAGAAGTTTGAAGACCCTTCTAGACCCACCATGGCCTGTGGGTGTGCCTAAGTGGTGTTCTGAAGGTTGGATGTGTCTTCCGCTAAGGGGAAACTCTGCCGAAATTTCGTGGACGCCGACACTTGTGAAAAATATTGAGGGAGCTGTGTGTGGACAGCAAAGGGGAGCTGAAATTCGTCATTTTTCAAGGAGAAGATGAATGAGAGAGGAGGAGATGCTAATGGAAGAGGAGCTGTAGCTGAGAAGACAAGTGAGCCGCCGCCATCAAAAGTTGAAGCTTTGGATGGCTCCAACTATGAGGAATGGAGCGGGCGGATGAGGAGTGCCTTCAAACGCTACAAGCTCCTGAAGATTGCTGTTTGGGAGGAGAAGATGCCGGAGGAAGGCGAAGCACGCGAACGGTGGATTGAGAAAAACGCGGTGCTTTTTGACCTCATTCTTCAATCGGTCAACAAGGAGATGTTCGAGCACATCAAGGATCTTGTGGAAGCGGATGATTCGGGTCCAAGGGCGTGGAAACTACTACGTGATGTGATTCAGCCCAACACTCTCCCAATGGTGATCGTGCTCGAGAAGGAACTTGCTGCCATCTCCATGCGACCAGGGGACGATGTGAAGCCGGTCCTTGACAAGATCAAGGACACCTATGCAAGGATGGGAGCAGCGGGCAGCAGTGTATCTCAGCTGCAGCAGTGCACCAAGATCATCTCGGTGTTGGACAACTCTTGGGACAACCTCATCCCCACCCTCAACTCTCAGCAAGATCAATGGACACCTGAGTGGCTAAGGCAGCAGATTCTGCAGGAGGACTTCCGTAGACGCCATGTGGGAGGCGGTGCTGCCACGAAGACTGCTGAGGGGTATGGAGCTGCAGGGCACGACAAAGGAAGAGGGGGTTGGAGAGGCCGAGGCCGTGGGAGGAGCTTTGGCAGAGGTAGAGGCCGAGGTGACTATAATGAGGGGCATGGGAGCTCTGGTGGCAGGGGGAGTACCAGAATGGAGGGCACCTGCTGGTACTGCAAGAAGGTCGGGCATCCTTGGTTCAAGTGCTTCAGCAGGCCGGAGGGATGGGCACCTCCAGGCATGAAGCCGCCCAGTGGTGAACGCGCACAAGGTGGCGCTGTGCAAGGCTCAGGTGCACAAGGTGAAGGTGCACAAGGTAATGCCTATCCTGGTTTGTTTCTTATGGTTGAGGATGTGCATGGGCATGAGGGTGATGTGGGATCTGTGGGAAAGGTTGTCATGCACCCTCTCACGCACTGGGTGATTGATTCGGGTTGCACCAGTCACATGACCCCACGGGCAGATTTGCTTGATGAGGTAAAACCCCCTGGGAAGATCAAGTATGTGGCAGCAGCGTCAGGTGCTTTGCTCCCTGTCATTGGTGTTGGAAATGCCAAGGTTAAGGGAGCTAATGGGGAGCTTGTGGGGCTTGGGAATGTTCAGCTGGTTGAAGGCTTGTCTGCTAACCTTCTCTCTGTGCGACGACTGCAGAAGAGCAAGGCCGAAGTGACCTTTGGACCAACCAGCTGCCGTGCTAAGTTTGGGAAGAAGGTGCTGTGGAGTCTGGAAGAGGAGACCAGCTGCATCAAGGACCTGTGGCAGCTGCCCATCATCCCATGGAATGGGAAGACTCCAACAGCAGCAACGGCAGCAGCGACAAAGGCAACAGCAGGAGGAGATGCAACTGCACCAACTGATGGAGTCCTGGAAGCAGTCAAGAAAGTGCAGCAGCAGCAGACACATGGTGAGGTGCTTGCTGGTGTGGATGCGAGTGCGGCATGGGCTAAGGCTTCATCAAGGAGTGGAGAGGCCGATTGGGAGACATGGCATGAGAGGCTGTGTCATGTGAACTTCCCTATGCTGCAGAAGTTGGTGAAGGATGGGAGCCTGAAGGGCTTGGAGGTGAAAGGGGGAGTGAAGGAGATTGGGAGCTGCCCTACATGCTTGGAGACCAAGTTCTCCAAGTTCCCCTTCAACAGCACTACAGGACCAGCCAAGACCCCACTTGCACTTGTGCACATGGATGTGGTGGGGCCCACAAGAGCCCCTTCCCTCTTAGGCAGCCGCTATTTCTTGACAATTGTAGATGACCACACTCGGGCAGTGTGGGTTTACCCTTTGAAGAGCAAGGGGGAGGTGGCAGCGGCTGTCCTTAAGGAGTGGATGCCTAGAGCTCAGAGGGAATGCGGACACAAGGTGAAGGTGATCCGTAGTGACAATGGTGGAGAGTTCATTGGAGCTGATTTTGAGGGGGAGTTGAAGAGGAAGGGGATCCAGCATCAACTGACAGTGCCCTACAACCCACAGCAGAATGGCGTGGCTGAGAGGTTCAACAGGACCCTGCAGGAGGGGGCACGCACTCTCCTTGGGCGTGCAGGGCTGCCTGATCCGTTTTGGGTGTCTGCACTGAGGCAGGTCGCCCTTGTGAAGAACAGGGTGCTGGCTACAGTTGGAGATAAGGAGTGGATCCCATATGTCAAGTGGTATGGGAGTGCTCCAGCTGTGAACATGCTGAGGGCATTTGGGTGCATGGTGGTGTTTCATGTGCCTAAGGAGAAAAGGGGGAAGTTGGAGGCTTTTGGAAGATGGGGTGTGCACTTGGGGATTGCAAAGGATCACAAGGGGTGGCTGCTATGGGACTTGACCACCCAGAAGTTGACAGTGTCAAGGGATGTGAAGTTTCTTGAGTCCCTGTACTACAAGGAATGGAAGCAGCAGCAACAGAAGCTTCCATCTACACCGCTCATTGTGGAGGCAGATGAGGTGCAGCAGCCTTCAAGACAGGTGAAGGTTGTAGTGTCAGAGGAGGAGATGTCTGGGGTGACTGAGGAAGGGGGAGCAGCTGAAGTAGAGCAGCAGCAGCAGCAGCAGCATGAGTCTCCACCTCGAGTTCCACACCCGCCTGAGCGTTCTAGGAGGGATGTGCGCCCTCCAGTGAGGCTGACCTATGGGGGAAGAGGCAAGCCGAATGTGGTGCAGGCTGGGAGTGTGGTTGAGCAGATTGAGGAAGATGAGATCGCTCACTGCTACTGGGCACCAATCCCTGAGCCCAAGACTCGAGAGGAGGCTTTGAATGGACCAAATGGGGAGAAGTGGAAGGCGAGTGAGGATGAGGAGTTTGGGTCCCTAATTGAGAACGAGACATGGGACCTGTGTGACTTGCCTCCTGGAAAGAAGGCAATCACTTCCAAGATGATCTACAGGCACAAGTATGGACCTGAAGGGGAGCTGACCCGCTACAAGTCTAGGCTTGTGGCACGGGGGTTTCAGCAGACAAAGGGGAAGGACTATGATGAGGTGTTTGCTCCTGTGGGGAAAGGAACAACACTGAGGGTGCTGTTGGCGATAGCTGCACTCCTGGGATGGAAGATTCGGCAGATGGATATTGTGACTGCCTTTCTGAATGGGATCATTATGGAGGAGGTGTACATGAAGCAGCCAGAGGGGCTGGATGACGGGAGCGGCAGGGTCTGCAGGCTGAAGAAGGCCATCTATGGCCTTAAGCAGGCGCCTCGTGCATGGTATCACAAGTTGGAGGAGGCGCTGTTGGCTGGGGGTTTCAAGAAGAGTGAGTGTGACCCCAGCCTGTTCCTGCTGCAGGAGAAGGATGAAATCCTCATGCTCTTGGTGTATGTGGATGATATCCTTCTCTTTTCTGCATCCACTGCTTTGCTGGACAGCGCAGAGCAGATGCTGGAGATGCAGTTCAAGTGCTCCAAGATGGGTGAGGTGAAGTACTACTTGGGGATGCACGTGGAGAGAGATGTGGAAAAGGGTGTGCTGAGGTTGCACCAGAGGAAGTACTGTGAGGGGCTGGCTGAGAAGTATGGGCTGCAAGATGGGGGAAAGCCAGCAACACCACTACCTTCAGGGTTTACTGTGGAGCAATGTGCTGATGAGGAGGTAGTGGGTGAGAGTGACAGGAAGCTGTTTCATTCGATGGTTGGGTCGCTGAATTATGCTGCAAATCATACACGGCCTGACATTGCATTTTCTACATCACGGTTGGCTAGTGTGGTCTCACGCCCTAGTCATGAGCAGCTGGAAGCGGCCAAGAGGTTGGTCCGCTATGTGAGTGCTACGGCATCAGTGGGATTGGAGTACAGTGGAGTGAGGCAGCGGTTGCAGAGAGGTGCTGCAGATGTGAAGAGTGGAGAGATGCTCTTGAGTTGCTATACTGACGCTAGCTTCAACTCAGTGAAAGCGGATGGCACCAGCATTGGGGGTTATGTGTGCTTGCTAGGAGGTGGTGCTGTGAGCTGGCGCAGCAAGAAGCAGAATGAGGTGGGATTGTCCTCATGTGAGACTGAGTACATGGCCTTACACCATGGGGCCAAGGAAGTAGTGTGGCTAAGGCGTTTGTTGGAGGAGTTGGGAGTTGGTCAGGAGAAGCCGACAGTTGTGTTTTGTGACAATGAGTCCGCTGTGAAGCTCGCCAAGAATGCTTGTCTGCATGGGCTGACAAAACACATAAGGCCTAAGTGGCATTGGGTGAGGAGACTCCTCGATAAGGAGGTGCGGCTGGAGATAGTGAAGACCCATCAGCAGGCAGCAGATATTTTCACCAAGCGTCTGGCGGAGGCGGATCATTGGAAGGGCATGAAGCTTGCTGGGATGAGTGTGCATTGAGTATTCATGCTTGAGATGTTGGTATGGTGGTTGATGGTTGGCAGCCAGAGGGGGAGATTGTTGTGTGATGTCATCATATGCTATCACATTCTGTCTGCCTCCCATCCCTGTTTTTCAATTGCATGTGTGGTTTGACTGTGTGCAAGAATTTGTGTGTGGTGTGTTCTGGAGTTTGGGAATGTGTTTTGTGTTATTCTGTCTGAGCAGGTATTTGTGATGATAGATCTTGAGAAGATCTTTCCGACGCAACAAGAATCGCTTCAATCGGAGCAAGAACGCGAAAGCTATGAAGATTCAAAGTTCATGAGCTTGCGTTACAATTGCGGCGGTTACAAAGTGAAGTTGTGGGGTGACTTTATATGGAGTTGGGACCTTTGGGGTTGGGGAAACTTGTCACTCTACTGTAACAGCTGCAAATTGGTTGGGAACAACCAAGCTAGGTTGGCAAGGGTGGCCAACTTGGATGGATTGGTTGGGAAGGGACAAATGTCAAAGTTGGGGTTCCTATAGGGAGGGAATCTTTGTGCTTATGGGGTTTCCTTGGTTGGGGACTCTCTTGGGACCTTCCCTCTCATCCCTCTCTTCCTATCCCAACCTTTCTCTTGCTCCTTCTAATTCCTTGTGAGATTCTTGAACTTTGATTGAACCTTTGAGATTGAGTTAAGTTCTCCTCCTACAGCTTACCCCCTAGTGCGTCGAAAGCCATAGCGTCGCGAATACTTCATCAATCAACGTGATTCAAATTGGGAACGGTAGCTGAGATTAAGAGCTACAACATATCCAAGTTTCGCGACATTCCAACGGCTAGTTTTTCGTCGACGTCGTTTCTTGTGAAGACGACTTTTCTGTCCAGAATTTCGGATTTATATTTTGAGTAATTCTAGCTCCTAAGTTCACCTAGACTCCGTCCTTAATCCTAACAAGTGGTATCAGAGCGATATTAAGGACATTGAGAGGAGTCTACAGAAGTGTGAAGACCCTTCTAGACCCACCATGGCCTGTGGGTGTGCCTAAGTGGTGTTCTAAAGGTTGGATGTGTCTTCCGCTAAGGGGAAACTCTGCCGAAATTTCGTGGACGCCGACACTTGTGAAAATATCGAGGGAGCTGAGTGTGGACAGCAAAGGGGAGCTGAAATTCGTCATTTCTCAAGGAGAAGATGAATGAGAGAGGAGGAGATGCTAATGGAAGAGGAGCTGTAGCTGAGAAGACAAGTGAGCCGCCGCCATCAAAAGTTGAAGCTTTGGATGGCTCCAACTATGAGGAATGGAGCGGACGGATGAGGAGTGCCTTCAAACGCTACAAGCTCCTGAAGATTGCTGTTGGGGAAGAGAAGATGCCGGAAGAAGGCGAAGCACGTGAACGGTGGATTGAGAAAAGCGCGGTGCTTTTCGACCTCATTCTTCAATCGGTCAACAAGGAGATGTTCGAGCACATCAAGGATCTTGTGGAAGCGGATGATTCGGGTCCAAGGGCGTGGAAACTACTACGTGATGTGGTTCAGCCCAACACTCTCCTGATGGTGATCGTGCTCGAGAAGGAACTTGCTGCCATCTCCATGCGACCAGGGGACGATGTGAAGCCGGTCCTTGACAAGATCAAGGACACCTATGCAAGGATGGCAGCAGCGGGCAGCAGTGTATCTCAGCTGCAGCAGTGCACCAAGATCATCTCGGTGTTGGACAACTCTTGGGACAACCTCATCCCCACCCTCAACTCTCAGCAAGATCAATGGACACCTGAGTGGCTAAGGCAGCAGATTCTGCAGGAGGACTTCCGCAGACGCCATGTGGGAGGCGGTGCTGCCACTAAGACTGCTGAGGGGTATGGAGCTGCAGGGCGCGGCAGAGGAAGAGGGGGTTGGAGAGGCCGAGGCCGTGGGAGGAGCTTTGGCAGAGGTAGAGGCCGAGGTGACTATAATGAGGGGCATGGGAGCTCTAGTGGCAGGGGGAGTACCAGAATGGAGGGCACCTGCTGGTACTGCAAGAAGATAGGGCATCCTTGGTTCAAGTGCTTCAGCAGGCCGGAGGGATGGGCACCTCCAGGCATGAAGCCACCCAGTGGTGAACGCGCACAAGGTGGCGCTGTGCAAGGCTCAGGTGCACAAGGTGAAGGTGCACAAGGTAATGCCTATCCTGGTTTGTTTCTTATGGTTGAGGATGTGCATGGGCATGAGGGTGATGTGGGATTTGTGGGAAAGGTTGTGATGCACCCTCTCACGCACTGGGTGATTGATTCGGGTTGCACCAGTCACATGACCCCACGGGCAGATTTGCTTGATGAGGTAAAACCCCCTGGGAAGATTAAGTATGTGGCAGCAGCGTCAGGTGCTTTGCTCCCCGTGATTGGTGTTGGGAATGCCAAGGTTAAGGGAGCTAATGGGGAGCTTGTGGGGCTTGGGAATGTTCTGCTGGTTAAAGGCTTGTCTGCTAACCTTCTCTCTGTGCGGCGGCTGCAGAAGAGTAAGGCCGAAGTGACCTTTGGACCAACCAGCTGCCGTGCTAAGCTTGGGAAGAAGGTGCTGTGGAGTCTGGAAGAGGAGACCAGCTGCATCAAGGACCTGTGGCAGCTGCCCATCATCCCTTGGAATGGGAAGACTCCAACAGCAGCAACGGCAGCAGTGGCAAAGGCAACAGCAGGAGGAGATGCAACTGCACCAACTGATGGGGTGCTGGAAGCAGTCAAGAAAGTGCAGAAGCAGCAGACACATGGTGAGGTGCTTGCTGGTGTGGATGCGAGTGCGGCATGGGCTAAGGCTTCATCAAGGAGTGGAGAGGCCGATTGGGAGACATGGCATGAGAGGTTGTGTCATGTGAACTTCCCTATGCTGCAGAAGTTGGTGAAGAATGGGAGCCTGAAGGGCTTGGAGGTGAAAGGGGAAGTGAAGGAGATTGGGAGCTGCCCTACATGCTTGGAGACCAAGTTCTCCAAGTTCCCCTTCAACAGCACTACAGGACCATCCAAGACCCCACTTGCACTTGTGCACATGGATGTGGTGGGGCCCACAAGAGCCCCTTCCCTCTCAGGCAGCCGCTATTTCTTGACAATTGTGGATGACCACACTTGGGCAGTGTGGGTTTACCCTTTGAAGAGCAAGGGGGAGGTGGCAGCGGCTGTCCTTAAGGAGTGGATGCCGAGAGCTCAGAGGGAATGCGGACACAAGGTGAAGGTGATCCGTAGTGACAATGGTGGGGAGTTCATTGGAGCTGATTTTGAGGGGGAGTTGAAGAGGAAGGGGATCCAGCATCAACTGACAGTGCCCTACAACCCACAGCAGAATGGCGTGGCTGAGAGGTTCAACAGGACCCTGCAGGAGGGGGCACGCACTCTCCTTGGGCGTGCAGGGCTGCCTGATCCGTTTTGGGTGTCTGCACTGAGGCAGGTCGCCCTTGTGAAGAACAGGGTGCTGGCTACAGTTGGAGATAAGGAGTGGATCCCATACGTCAAGTGGTATGGGAGTGCTCCAGCTGTGAACATGCTGAGGGCATTTGGGTGCATGGTGGTGTTTCATGTGCCTAAGGAGAAAAGGGGGAAGTTGGAGGCTTCTGGAAGATGGGGTGTGCACTTGGGGATTGCAAAGGATCACAAGGGGTGGCTGCTATGGGACTTGACCACCCAGAAGTTGACAGTGTCAAGGGATGTGAAGTTTCTTGAGTCCCTGTACTACAAGGAATGGAAGCAGCAGCAACAGAAGCTTCCATCTACACCGCTCATTGTGGAGGCAGATGAGGTGCAGCAGCCTTCAAGACAGGTGGAGGTTGCAGTGTCAGAGGAGGAGATGTCTGGGGTGACTGAGGAAGGGGGAGCAGCTGAAGTAGAGCAGCAGCAGCAGCAGCAGCATGAGTCTCCACCTCGAGTTCCACACCCGCCTGAGCGTCCTAGGAGGGATGTGCGCCCTCCAGTGAGGCTGACCTATGGGGGAAGAGGCAAGCCGAATGTGGTGCAGGCTGGGAGTGTGGTTGAGCAGATTGAGGAAGATGAGATCGCTCACTGCTACTGGGCACCAATCCCTGAGCCCAAGACTCGAGAAGAGGCCTTGAATGGACCAAATGGGGAGAAGTGGAAGGCGAGTGAGGATGAGGAGTTCGGGTCCCTAATTGAGAACGAGACATGGGACCTGTGTGACTTGCCTCCTGGAAAGAAGGCAATCACTTCCAAGATGATCTACAGGCACAAGTATGGACCTGAAGGGGAGCTGACCCGCTACAAGTCTAGGCTTGTGGCACGGGGGTTTCAGCAGACAAAGGGGAAGGACTATGATGAGGTGTTTGCTCCTGTGGGGAAAGGAACAACACTGAGGGTGCTGTTGGCGATAGCTGCACTCCTGGGATGGAAGATTCGGCAGATGGATATTGTGACTGCCTTTCTGAATGGGATCATTATGGAGGAGGTGTACATGAAGCAGCCAGAGGGGCTGGATGACGGGAGCGGCAGGGTCTGCAGGCTGAAGAAGGCCATCTATGGCCTTAAGCAGGCGCCTCGTGCATGGTATCACAAGTTGGAGGAGGCGCTGTTGGCTGGGGGTTTCAAGAAGAGTGAGTGTGACCCCAGCCTGTTCCTGCTGCAGGAGAAGGATGAAATCCTCATGCTCTTGGTGTATGTGGATGATATCCTTCTCTTTTCTGCATCCACTGCTTTGCTGGACAGCGCAGAGCAGATGCTGGAGATGCAGTTCAAGTGCTCCAAGATGGGTGAGGTGAAGTACTACTTGGGGATGCACGTGGAGAGAGATGTGGAAAAGGGTGTGCTGAGGTTGCACCAGAGGAAGTACTGTGAGGGGCTGGCTGAGAAGTATGGGCTGCAAGATGGGGGAAAGCCAGCAACACCACTACCTTCGGGGTTCACTGTGGAGCCATGTGCTGATGAGGAGGTAGTGGGTGATAGTGACAGGAAGCTGTTTCATTCGATGGTTGGGTCGCTGAATTATGCTGCAAATCATACACGGCCTGACATTGCATTTGCTACATCACGGTTGGCTAGTGTGGTCTCACGCCCTAGTCATGAGCAGCTGGAAGCGGCCAAGAGGTTGGTCCGCTATGTGAGTGCTACGGCATCAGTGGGATTGGAGTACAGTGGAGTGAGGCAGCGGTTGCAGAGAGGTGCTGCAGATGTGAAGAGTGGAGAGATGCTCTTGAGTTGCTATACTGACGCTAGCTTCAACTCAGTGAAAGCGGATGGCACCAGCATTGGGGGTTATGTGTGCTTGCTAGGAGGTGGTGCTGTGAGCTGGCGCAGCAAGAAGCAAAATGAGGTGGGATTGTCTTCATGTGAGACTGAGTACATGGCCTTACACCATGGGGCCAAGGAAGTGGTATGGCTGAGGCGTTTGTTGGAGGAGTTGGGAGTTGGTCAGGAGAAGCCGACAGTTGTGTTTTGTGACAATGAGTCCGCTGTGAAGCTCGCCAAGAATGCTTGTCTGCATGGGCTGACAAAACACATAAGGCCTAAGTGGCATTGGGTGAGGAGACTCCTTGATAAGGAGGTGCGGCTGGAGATAGTGAAGACCCATCAGCAGGCAGCAGATATTTTCACTAAGCGTCTGGCGGAGGCGGATCATTGGAAGGGCATGAAGCTTGCTGGGATGAGTGTGCATTGAGTATGCATGCTTGAGATGTGGTATGGTCGATGATGGTTGGCAGCCAGAGGGGGAGATTGTTGTGTGATGTCATCATATGCTATCACATTCTGTCTGCCTCCCATCCCATGTTTTTTCAACTTGCATGTGTGGTTTGAATGTGCAAGCATTTGTGTGTGGTGTGTTCTGGAGTTTGGGAATGTGTTTTGTGTTATTCTGTCTGAGCAGGTATTTGTGATGATAGATCTTGAGAAGATCTTTCCGACGCAACAAGAATCGCTTCAATCGGAGCAAGAACGCGAAAGCTATGAAGATTCAAAGTTCATGAGCTTGCGTTACAATTGCGGCGGTTACAAAGTGAAGTTGTGGGGTGACTTTATATGGAGTTGGGACCTTTGGGGTTGGGGAAACTTGTCACTCTACTGTAACAGCTGCAAATTGGTTGGGAACAACCAAGCTAGGTTGGCAAGGGTGGCCAACTTGGATGGATTGGTTGGGAAGGGACAAATGTCAAAGTTGGGGTTCCTATAGGGAGGGAATCTTTGTGCTTATGGGGTTTCCTTGGTTGGGGACTCTCTTGGGACCTTCCCTCTCATCCCTCTCTTCCTATCCCAACCTTTCTCTTGCTCCTTCTAATTCCTTGTGAGATTCTTGAACTTTGATTGAACCTTTGAGATTGAGTTAAGTTCTCCTCCTACAGCTTACCCCCTAGTGCGTCGAAAGCCATAGCGTCGCGAATACTTCATCAATCAACGTGATTCAAATTGGGAACGGTAGCTGAGATTAAGAGCTACAACATATCCAAGTTTCGCGACATTCCAACGGCTAGGTTTTTGTCGACGTCGTTTCTTGTGAAGACGACTTTTCTGTCCAGAATTTCGGATTTATATTTTGAGTAATTCTAGCTCCTAAGTTCACCTAGACTCCGTCCTTAATCCTAACAAGTGGTATCAGAGCATATTAAGGACATTGAGAGGAGTCTACAGAAGTGTGAAGACCCTTCTAGACCCACCATGGCCTGTGGGTGTGCCTAAGTGGTGTTCTAAAGGTTGGATGTGTCTTCCGCTAAGGGGAAACTCTGCCGAAATTTCGTGGACGCCGACACTTGTGAAAATATCGAGGGAGCTGAGTGTGGACAGCAAAGGGGAGCTGAAATTCGTCATTTCTCAAGGAGAAGATGAATGAGAGAGGAGGAGATGCTAATGGAAGAGGAGCTGTAGCTGAGAAGACAAGTGAGCCGCCGCCATCAAAAGTTGAAGCTTTGGATGGCTCCAACTATGAGGAATGGAGCGGACGGATGAGGAGTGCCTTCAAACGCTACAAGCTCCTGAAGATTGCTGTTGGGGAAGAGAAGATGCCGGAAGAAGGCGAAGCACGTGAACGGTGGATTGAGAAAAGCGCGGTGCTTTTCGACCTCATTCTTCAATCGGTCAACAAGGAGATGTTCGAGCACATCAAGGATCTTGTGGAAGCGGATGATTCGGGTCCAAGGGCGTGGAAACTACTACGTGATGTGGTTCAGCCCAACACTCTCCTGATGGTGATCGTGCTCGAGAAGGAACTTGCTGCCATCTCCATGCGACCAGGGGACGATGTGAAGCCGGTCCTTGACAAGATCAAGGACACCTATGCAAGGATGGCAGCAGCGGGCAGCAGTGTATCTCAGCTGCAGCAGTGCACCAAGATCATCTCGGTGTTGGACAACTCTTGGGACAACCTCATCCCCACCCTCAACTCTCAGCAAGATCAATGGACACCTGAGTGGCTAAGGCAGCAGATTCTGCAGGAGGACTTCCGCAGACGCCATGTGGGAGGCGGTGCTGCCACTAAGACTGCTGAGGGGTATGGAGCTGCAGGGCGCGGCAGAGGAAGAGGGGGTTGGAGAGGCCGAGGCCGTGGGAGGAGCTTTGGCAGAGGTAGAGGCCGAGGTGACTATAATGAGGGGCATGGGAGCTCTAGTGGCAGGGGGAGTACCAGAATGGAGGGCACCTGCTGGTACTGCAAGAAGGTGGGCATCCTTGGTTCAAGTGCTTCAGCAGGCCGGAGGGATGGGCACCTCCAGGCATGAAGCCGCCCAGTGGTGAACGCGCACAAGGTGGCGCTGTGCAAGGCTCAGGTGCACAAGGTGAAGGTGCACAAGGTAATGCCTATCCTGGTTTGTTTCTTATGGTTGAGGATGTGCATGGGCATGAGGGTGATGTGGGATCTGTGGGAAAGGTTGTGATGCACCCTCTCACGCACTGGGTGATTGATTCGGGTTGCACCAGTCACATGACTCCACGGGCAGATTTGCTTGATGAGGTAAAACCCCCTGGGAAGATTAAGTATGTGGCAGCAGCGTCAGGTGCTTTGCTCCCCGTGATTGGTGTTGGGAATGCCAAGGTTAAGGGAGCTAATGGGGAGCTTGTGGGGCTTGGGAATGTTCTGCTGGTTAAAGGCTTGTCTGCTAACCTTCTCTCTGTGCGGCGGCTGCAGAAGAGTAAGGCCGAAGTGACCTTTGGACCAACCAGCTGCCGTGCTAAGCTTGGGAAGAAGGTGCTGTGGAGTCTGGAAGAGGAGACCAGCTGCATCAAGGACCTGTGGCAGCTGCCCATCATCCCTTGGAATGGGAAGACTCCAACAGCAGCAACGGCAGCAGCGGCAAAGGCAACAGCAGGAGGAGATGCAACTGCACCAACTGATGGGGTGCTGGAAGCAGTCAAGAAAGTGCAGAAGCAGCAGACACATGGTGAGGTGCTTGCTGGTGTGGATGCGAGTGCGGCATGGGCTAAGGCTTCATCAAGGAGTGGAGAGGCCGATTGGGAGACATGGCATGAGAGGCTGTGTCATGTGAACTTCCCTATGCTGCAGAAGTTGGTGAAGAATGGGAGCCTGAAGGGCTTGGAGGTGAAAGGGGAAGTGAAGGAGATTGGGAGCTGCCCTACATGCTTGGAGACCAAGTTCTCCAAGTTCCCCTTCAACAGTGCAACTGGACCATCCAAGACCCCACTTGCACTTGTGCACATGGATGTGGTGGGGCCCACAAGAGCCCCTTCCCTCTCAGGCAGCCGCTATTTCTTGACAATTGTGGATGACCACACTTGGGCAGTGTGGGTTTACCCTTTGAAGAGCAAGGGGGAGGTGGCAGCGGCTGTCCTTAAGGAGTGGATGCCGAGAGCTCAGAGGGAATGCGGACACAAGGTGAAGGTGATCCGTAGTGACAATGGTGGGGAGTTCATTGGAGCTGATTTTGAGGGGGAGTTGAAGAGGAAGGGGATCCAGCATCAACTGACAGTGCCCTACAACCCACAGCAGAATGGCGTGGCTGAGAGGTTCAACAGGACCCTGCAGGAGGGGGCACGCACTCTCCTTGGGCGTGCAGGGCTGCCTGATCCGTTTTGGGTGTCTGCACTGAGGCAGGTCGCCCTTGTGAAGAACAGGGTGCTGGCTACAGTTGGAGATAAGGAGTGGATCCCATACGTCAAGTGGTATGGGAGTGCTCCAGCTGTGAACATGCTGAGGGCATTTGGGTGCATGGTGGTGTTTCATGTGCCTAAGGAGAAAAGGGGGAAGTTGGAGGCTTCTGGAAGATGGGGTGTGCACTTGGGGATTGCAAAGGATCACAAGGGGTGGCTGCTATGGGACTTGACCACCCAGAAGTTGACAGTGTCAAGGGATGTGAAGTTTCTTGAGTCCCTGTACTACAAGGAATGGAAGCAGCAGCAACAGAAGCTTCCATCTACACCGCTCATTGTGGAGGCAGATGAGGTGCAGCAGCCTTCAAGACAGGTGGAGGTTGCAGTGTCAGAGGAGGAGATGTCTGGGGTGACTGAGGAAGGGGGAGCAGCTGAAGTAGAGCAGCAGCAGCAGCAGCAGCATGAGTCTCCACCTCGAGTTCCACACCCGCCTGAGCGTCCTAGGAGGGATGTGCGCCCTCCAGTGAGGCTGACCTATGGGGGAAGAGGCAAGCCGAATGTGGTGCAGGCTGGGAGTGTGGTTGAGCAGATTGAGGAAGATGAGATCGCTCACTGCTACTGGGCACCAATCCCTGAGCCCAAGACTCGAGAAGAGGCCTTGAATGGACCAAATGGGGAGAAGTGGAAGGCGAGTGAGGATGAGGAGTTCGGGTCCCTAATTGAGAACGAGACATGGGACCTGTGTGACTTGCCTCCTGGAAAGAAGGCAATCACTTCCAAGATGATCTACAGGCACAAGTATGGACCTGAAGGGGAGCTGACCCGCTACAAGTCTAGGCTTGTGGCACGGGGGTTTCAGCAGACAAAGGGGAAGGACTATGATGAGGTGTTTGCTCCTGTGGGGAAAGGAACAACACTGAGGGTGCTGTTGGCGATAGCTGCACTCCTGGGATGGAAGATTCGGCAGATGGATATTGTGACTGCCTTTCTGAATGGGATCATTATGGAGGAGGTGTACATGAAGCAGCCAGAGGGGCTGGATGACGGGAGCGGCAGGGTCTGCAGGCTGAAGAAGGCCATCTATGGCCTTAAGCAGGCGCCTCGTGCATGGTATCACAAGTTGGAGGAGGCGCTGTTGGCTGGGGGTTTCAAGAAGAGTGAGTGTGACCCCAGCCTGTTCCTGCTGCAGGAGAAGGATGAAATCCTCATGCTCTTGGTGTATGTGGATGATATCCTTCTCTTTTCTGCATCCACTGCTTTGCTGGACAGCGCAGAGCAGATGCTGGAGATGCAGTTCAAGTGCTCCAAGATGGGTGAGGTGAAGTACTACTTGGGGATGCACGTGGAGAGAGATGTGGAAAAGGGTGTGCTGAGGTTGCACCAGAGGAAGTACTGTGAGGGCTGGCTGAGAAGTATGGGCTGCAAGATGGGGGAAAGCCAGCAACACCACTACCTTCGGGGTTCACTGTGGAGCCATGTGCTGATGAGGAGGTAGTGGGTGATAGTGACAGGAAGCTGTTTCATTCGATGGTTGGGTCGCTGAATTATGCTGCAAATCATACACGGCCTGACATTGCATTTGCTACATCACGGTTGGCTAGTGTGGTCTCACGCCCTAGTCATGAGCAGCTGGAAGCGGCCAAGAGGTTGGTCCGCTATGTGAGTGCTACGGCATCAGTGGGATTGGAGTACAGTGGAGTGAGGCAGCGGTTGCAGAGAGGTGCTGCAGATGTGAAGAGTGGAGAGATGCTCTTGAGTTGCTATACTGACGCTAGCTTCAACTCAGTGAAAGCGGATGGCACCAGCATTGGGGGTTATGTGTGCTTGCTAGGAGGTGGTGCTGTGAGCTGGCGCAGCAAGAAGCAAAATGAGGTGGGATTGTCCTTCATGTGAGACTGAGTACATGGCCTTACACCATGGGGCCAAGGAAGTGGTATGGCTGAGGCGTTTGTTGGAGGAGTTGGGAGTTGGTCAGGAGAAGCCGACAGTTGTGTTTTGTGACAATGAGTCCGCTGTGAAGCTCGCCAAGAATGCTTGTCTGCATGGGCTGACAAAACACATAAGGCCTAAGTGGCATTGGGTGAGGAGACTCCTTGATAAGGAGGTGCGGCTGGAGATAGTGAAGACCCATCAGCAGGCAGCAGATATTTTCACTAAGCGTCTGGCGGAGGCGGATCATTGGAAGGGCATGAAGCTTGCTGGGATGAGTGTGCATTGAGTATGCATGCTTGAGATGTTGGTATGGTCGATGATGGTTGGCAGCCAGAGGGGGAGATTGTTGTGTGATGTCATCATATGCTATCACATTCTGTCTGCCTCCCATCCCATGTTTTTTCAACTTGCATGTGTGGTTTGAATGTGCAAGCATTTGTGTGTGTGTGTTCTGGAGTTTGGGAATGTGTTTTGTGTTATTCTGTTTGAGCAGGTTATTTGTGATAATAGATCTTGAGAAGATCTTTCCGACGCAACGAGAATCCCTTCAATCGGAGCAAGAACGCGAAAGCTATGAAGATTCAAAGTTCATGAGCTTGCGTTACAATTGCGGCGGTTACTAAGTGAAGTTGTGGGGTGACTCTATATGGAGTTGGGACCTTTGGGGGTTGGGGAAATTGTCACTCTACTGTAACAGCTGCAAATTGGTTGGGAACAACCAAGCTAGGTTGGCAAGGGTGGCCAACTTGGATGGATTGGTTGGGAAGGGACAAATGTCAAAGTTGAGGTTCCTATAGGGAGGGAATCTTTGTGCTTATGGGGTTTCCTTGGTTGGGGACTCTCTTGGGACCTTCCCTCTCGTCCCTCTCTTTCTATCCCAACCTTTCTCTTGCTCCTCAATTCCTTGTGAGATTCTTGAACTTTGATTGAACCTCTTGAGATTGAGTTAAGTCTTCCTCCTACAGCTTACCCCCTAGTGCGTCGAAAGCCATAGCGTCGCGAATACTTCATCAATCAACGTGATTCAAATTGGGAACGGTAGCTGAGATTAAGAGCTACAACATATCCAAGTTTCGCGACATTCCAACGGCTAGTTTTTGTCGACGTCGTTTCTTGTGAAGACGACTTTTCTGTCCAGAATTTCGTTAGCTTTTTTCGTTAGCTTCGCTCGCTTTGCTTAGCTTCGCCTTAGCTTCGCTTTGCTTCGCTTAGCTTCGCTTCGCTTCGCTTAGCTTCCTTAGCTTTGCTTAGCTTTACTTCGCTTTCCTTCGCTTCGCTTCGCTTCGCTTTGCTTAGCTTCGCTTCGCTTCGCTTCGCTTTGCTTACTTCACTTCGCTTCGCTTAGTTCGCTTCGCTTCGCTTCGCTTAGCTTCGCTTCGCTTAGCTTCGCTTTGCTTCGCTTAGCTTTCCTTAGCTTTCGCTTAGCTTCACTTCGCTTCGCTTGCTTAGCTTCGCTTCTTTAGCTTCGCTTCGCTTAGCTTCGCTTAGCTTCGC